TGAGGAAACGGGGACACCCTGATTCGTTCCTTTCCATTTTTTGACCTCTTTCAGCAGGCGCCAATCAGCCCACAGACATCTATTCACCATAATTACATGCTGTGTTTATCTATGTAGCACATGCTCCAGGATCACTTCCATTTTCAGCGGCGGGTTTTGCAGAATTATAGCTTGATAATAATGAGAGAGACAGCCATTGCCTAGCACATCAGAAGCAAGAAACCGCCCATACGTCCATTGATCCATCCATCTATATGAGGCTTTATTGTTCTGACTTGACAAGATCAAAGCAGCTCTCTAGCTGAACTAAAATGATCAGCATACTGAACCTACACATGTTTGCTGGTTTATTATTCACACCTGTAACCATTGGGATTTTGAAAGCTCTGCAGTGATGTTCTGGTTCAGTTTAGTCCACCAGCAGTGTCACGGTTTCTTTTTTAGGGAGGGACGCAGTACCTTTTAAAACTTTTATTCCCTACTTAAGCAGAATCAAGCTACGTAATTATCTCTGAAATGACTAATAGGTATTTTGGAGATCAAGCGGAATCTTATGCGAGGAGTGGTGGATGGCGAGGCGCTCTGTTTGCGCTCATGAATGGCTGTATCGGTTTGTTTTAGAATAAAGGATTGTGGGTAGAGTTGCCTCAGGCTGGCGCCACAGTGGGTCCACATCTCTCAATTATCTCTCACATGGAGAACTAAAAATGGCCGTTTTCTTTTTGCAGTTTGCAGACGCAGACTCAGGGGGCAAACACAAGGGATGCATCTTTGCATTCCAAAACAGCTAGAATGCAACAGAATCCCAGCTAACAGGAACATGCTCAGAACTTTGACTTCAAAGAACGTTCAAAAGTAACGTTCCCACAATATTTGAAAAATGATCAAATAGAATTTTCTCCCAAAGGAATATTTCACACACACACACACACACACACACACAAAATGAAAATCTATGGAAATGTACTCACCCTAAGGTCATTCAAGAACAGTTTTGAGAAATTTAGCATTAGCTCACTTGTTCACCAATGGAACTGTGACATGTTTGGACTTTCATTCTGATGGCACCCATTCACTGCAGAGCATCCACTGGTGAGCAAGTAATGTAAAGCTAAATTTCAAAATCTAAAGCTAAATCTATTTTAATGGGAACCTTATAAAAACATTTCTTAGGATGTATTTTTGTTAGCTCGAATGTTCCTGAGATATGTTTTAAAAAGTTTAACTACTTTTATCTTTACACACTGTATTAAAATAACACGCTCATGGCGTGAAACGCTGAAAAAAAAAATTTACACATTTTATGGTTAATTTTTAAACATATACTTCAGTTCTTACATATATGCTAAAATATAATTCTCATGGCGTGAAATGCTGAATGCATTTAACTCTATGCATACGCAAGTTTTCACATTAAAACTAAGAATATTTTGGGCTTTAATAAAGGCAAATTATGAATGTTAAATGTAATGCAATGTTATTATGAAATGACATGATATGTGACATTTACAAGTTCATGATAGTTTAGAGCTTAGGTTCTTTGCTGTTTGCATAAGGTTTGTTTTATTCAGCATTAACACCTGGCCTGTTTTCATCAGGAAACAAACAAAAAAAAAAGAGACAGAGACAGATAATACATTTGCAGTTCAAATAGCATATGGCTGACACATATTAGGTGAAACTCATGCACGCAAATTGGAAACCGGCACTCCAATTAGTTTAAACATCTGGCAAGATCTATGTTCCACAATAGAGTTTGTTATTATCACATAGACTAGAGAATCAAGTATTAAAATGGCTTGCTTTCTGAAGAAAGATTCATCAGTGAAAATGTCAAAAAGAGCGTATTTTCAGTGATTCAGGACATTCGGCTTCTGTTGAAGATCCAAGTTCATGTTTTTTGATGTAACCCTAAATGAAAATTTGCTGAAAATGTACTCACCTTCAGGACATCCAATATGTAGTTGGGTATTTTTCTTCTTTGGAACAGATTTGGAGAAATGTAACATTCCATCACTTGCTCACCGATGGATCCTCTGCAGTGAATGGGTGCCGTCAGAATGAGAGTCCAAACAGCTGATAAAAACATCACAATAATCCACAAGTAATCCACACAACTCCAGTCCATCAATTAACGTCTTGTGAAGTGAAAAACTGCATGTTTATAAGAAACAAATCCATCATTAAGGTGATTTACTTTAAACCGTCACTTCTGGACGAACTCCAGAGTCCAGAAAATAATCCATAATCCATAATAACGCATCTTCCAGTGAAAAAGTCCATCCCACGTTTTCTTCTCACAAAAAAATACACCAACATTACAACCGCTTTAGACAATTTTTGCTTTTAAATGTTGCTTGATCTGTGCATATTTCTCTCCTGATTCAGACGAGATGACTTTTTCACTGGAGAAAATATTAAATATCCTAAATATCCCGTATCCTAAATATTAAGGATACGGGACTCATATTCAGCTCGAAGTGACAGTTTGATGTTAAAAACGACTTAATGAAGGAATTGTTTCTTACAAACACTCAGCTTTCTGCTTCACAGGATGCTAATTAATGGAATGGAGTGGTGTGGATTATTGTGATGTTTTTATCAGCTGTTTGGGCTCTCATTCTGACGGCACCCATTCACTGCAGAGCATCCATTGGTGAGCAAGTGATACTACATTTCTCCAAATCTGTTCCCATGAATAAACAAACTCATCCACATCTTGGTTAACCTGAGGGCAAGCACATTTTCAGCTCATTTTTAATTTGTGGGTGAACCGTTCCTTTAAAACTTTGCAGTCAATTTTTCTTAAGCATATTTTCCATGTTCATTTTTACCTAGCTATAATGGTAAACAGCTTCTGGTGATAATCACGACAATGTATGGCAATTCAGTTCTGGTCAATACAAAGCAGAGGTTTGGTGATGAAAAATCAAGGATATACTAGAGACAGACAATTCTCTAAAAAGCTTCTGAGCTCGGTACGGTTTTCAGTCAATAGCAAGGTGTAAGTGTGAAGTATTGTTCAACAAGATATCGGTCACCGTAATAACAGCTTATTATTTTCTAATGGTCATGGTGACCTTCAGCGTATCCGAACCTCTGGCAGAATGGGGTTTTTGTCACTGCCTGAGGTCATTGATGTCTATTGATCTGAATCCCTCAAGGCTTTCGGCTGACCCTGACAAGATGACAGACATAACCCTTTAATTTGATGCCATCGGGATGTTGAGAAAGTGTAGAACCTCTTTAACTAGCAAATCCATCTTGACACAAGGGTTAGGACACGTGTGTGCAATCTCGTTTATAATGGAATCCCAGGTTTGGTTTGGTTTCCATTTATACCAAGGATGTCTAGTTAACCATTAGCTTCTCAACAGCCCAGCGAATAACTAGCGACTTCTGAGATGTAAAGTCAAAGGCAGCAAAAATGAAAAGTAACGTCCTACAAGTTGTTGTTTTTTTTCTCTAAGGACGTCTTCAAGACGTCAATCAATCGTCCTGCAAGTAAATATCATCTAAATAATGAGATCCCACTCATCACAGATTGAAATCAAGTCCCAGAAGGCATTTTTCAAGCTCACCGAAAAGGATGGGCTGAAATTTTCCCGAGCTAGTTTTCCTGTTCTGTCAGGCACTATTAGAGTCACCCGTTCCTTCCTCATAAGACTAGGGCCATTTATGATTAAGCTGTCTCAAAAATACACATATTTGAGTTAGCCACTGTTGATGGGACAGAAAAGCCTACTAAGCCAGCTGTAGTATGTTTAATGAAAGCCGTTATAGTGGGAAGACAGACTATTAGCGTGTCCCCGAGGAACCAGGACTGGCATCTAAGGGTGGGTGTCAGATCTGGACGACAGCAGAGCTAATTGGAGAGAAATTGCTAAGAATATTGCATGAACTCCATCGGCGTCCCATGAGATCCTCCACTGGTGGGTCGAGGAATAGCGGGTCTTAATAGAACTGTCACGGCTTTTCCTCACAGTTTAAGGTGAGGCTAAAGTCTGACCACTGTCATTATTAAGACATGTAAGGTACGCTTAGCCCTCGGTCAGCTCGGTTGATTTTGTGTGTGGAATACATTTTCCATCAATACATAATGAATTAGCTTGACTCAGTGACATTTATTAAGAGAAAAGGCATTTAGTCAAAAATTTCCTACAGATTTGTCACAACAATGACTCTATTAATCTATGTCTGTTAGCGCTGGGGCTAATCTACGTGCTAATGTATTCCTAACCATTGAGAAATTTCACTTTTAGAAGATGTATGCTTTTAAAAATGACTCTTCTGGGGAAACAAAGCAAAAATATTGACGACTCTTCTTGCGGTAGACAATTTGTTTGTCCAATTAAATGCGAATGTGGCTAGCAGTTGGCAAACCGTTATTCAGTCTTGCGTCTAGAAAACTAGTCATTCACTATGCCTCATCCAACTTCCTGTTTCAGTAGAAAATGTCAACACAAACTGTAGCTTTTACTCTACCAGCTAATTGCAAAAAAAGTAGTTAGCTATACTACAAACTATGCACAAAAGTAGCTTAAATCGCTACAGCATGGCTGTTTAAAAGGGTAAATACCAATTTAAGTGTTTTTAAACATTTTTAAATATGTATTTATTCATTTGTACTCCCTAACACTGAGCAAAAACTGCGAATAAATCTCTTTAAACCGCTAAGTTGAAGATAGCAAAACTGTGACAACATCAGAGACCGAAGTAAGATAAGCACCTAGAATTGCAGGCATTACTCTTCACAGCGTTAAAGATAGCGCCCAAAACCTGCCAAGATTTGTCAAATGAAAGATTGTTCCTAAAGTGTGCGATAGCTTCAAATGTTGGTTTTGTTGGTTTTGTTGCTCTACCTCACATATTTCTTCAAAAGCTTCCAGAGTCGACTCTGTTTCTTTGTGTTTATGCTCTCCTACGAGAGCATTTAGGCACACGTCTCACTACAAAGTCTTCGCTCTATTTTGACTTTTTGTTTTGTTTCTTCCTTCCAGGGCAAGAGCGAATAGGAACAGACTCCAGATACGAGCAAGAAGGGAAGGTGCAGTTTGTGATAGACGCGGTGTATGCCATGGCTCACGCCCTGCACAACATGCAGAAGGAACTTTGTCCTGACCAATCGGGCATTTGTGGGGAGATGGAGCACGCTGGTGGCAAGAAGCTCCTCAAGTACATCCGATCGGTCAGCTTCAACGGTGAGTCCACCGAAGCTCACAACATCAGATAAATGCCATATTGAGTCAATGTCATCTTACTAATATTAATTCAGCTACACTTCATTTTAAGGTGATGTTATTACAGTGTAATTACAAGTACTTACTATTTAGGATTTGGGTTTGGTTTAGGGTTAGATGCTTGCAATTATGCATAATTTACTGTTATTACCATAGTAAGTTCATGTAATTATGTAACATTCAAATAAAGTAATTCAATGCAATTCTTAGATACAGTGACTGAGTACAGAGTTTAGCATGTTTTAATTTGTGAACATTTTTATATTTTTGGCTGGGAAGGTAAAAAAGAAAAAACAAAAGTAGTTTGGCACAATCTTTTGAAAAATTAGAAATAATTTTTGAAAAATTATTGCTTATTGATATTTGAAAAGCTTTTGTCTTCCCAATGTCATGTGGTGCAACCTAAATAAATAAATAAATAAATAAGTGATATCATAGAGAGGACACTTATAGACCTTCATAATAAAATATTAATAATTTGATTTTTATGACATAAAATTGTTGTAAAATGTCATGCGGTGCAACTGATACATGTTATTATGTAATTATATATTTCATGCACCTATTTACTTAAGAAATAATTACATACATTTTCATGGTATATATATATATATATATATATATATATATATATATTGTACTATTATAGCTTTTTTATGTATACTTTGGAAATCATTTTCCAACTACACCGAAAAACAATGGTGGTAAAATAATTTCACTCAGAAATTGCTAGTAAATTTCACAAATAATTACAAAGAAATGGCAAGTAACACGTTTAATTAAGCATGAAATTTCAAAGTAGAAAAAAAAATACATATTTATATATAAATGATCATTTTTTACAGTGTATATTGACAGACTTTACAGACTGGTTTGGACAATACTGAGCAGGTTTCTTCTGTTCCAGTGGACACACACACCATATGTATATTCCTCTTTGAAGCAACCTTTGTTGCTGCTTCTTGCGTGGGACTCCAACTCTCTAAATACTTTATATCTCGCATATCCCAAACCTGCCTTTGTGTTGGACCGTTGAAATAGGAAACTTCCAAGAAGAAAGGAAATCTCTCATTAATGCATCTTAATGAAGTGAAACTTGTGTAGTCCTGCACCAGGGCACTGTTAGATCAAAGTGCAACTGCACCTTTGATGTCTGTGTGATGATGAGAAAATACTCTTTGGGGTAAATATATGATCTAACTTAAGGCCTGGTGAACGATACTCCAAATATACTCGACAAAATACTTGCTTTTAATTACCAGAATATAAAGACAGGTGGCTAAATGCTAATGAAGAAATCTGCAAGAATTTTATGCCACCAAACAATGTGAATTATTTATTTATTTATTAATTTATTTAAGAATAACACTGAAACATACAATTGTACAAATTTAACTTGCATTGTTATTTTTTTTATTATAATGAAATGTTTTACAAATTGCATCACTTAAATATTCTAGGAACTGTAAGCAATTCATTTTATTTACAATGTGTGCAAATTTGAAGTTTGTTTTAAAAAACTTTGTTTTATGAACCACCATAGTTGTTTGTTTCGTAAAGATATGCTTATGTTTTCGTGAAGTACCTAATATTAACAGATCACACTGCACAGAAATGCCAAACAACAGCATATTATCTTTTGTAGATAATAACAAGCTTTTGATCTATTGTTTACCATTGCTTAAAAGTCTTTTATGATGAGCACCCAATTCAATCCATGGCGTAAAAACACAAAAGAACATGAAAACATCTTGAAATAATATTACTTCAGCTGTCGCTAATTTGTTTTCTGTAGTGTTCTTATAAAGTAAACAGCCACGTCCAAACATCATACGCCAGCTTATGGAAATACATCAAAGCTAGTTAATAACAAGAAAAAACAAACAAAAAAAAACGTGATTTGCTGTGCTTTAAGGCTGTAATGTAGTGCCTATTAGAGAGGATACAAGAGCTCTGCTTTATCCTAACTGTTGCGAATCTAACAACACAATATTTTAATTATATATATATATATATATATATATATATATATATATAGCACACTAATACTTTTACGGCATTTATAATTTATGAGCATTGCATGCACAATAAGAAAACCTTCCCTCTGGCATGCATATATAATTCATATTCATATTCAGAATGTATATGCACGCATGACGTAGTTTATTTTGAAATGCAATGTTCAACTGTTAACTTGACAGTTAGAACATTTATGTATGCATAATTTGCATATATAAGTATTAAGAAATAGAAATTGATTAATCATCTCTAGCTTCATGGAATATTGAATTCATAGATGGATGTTATTGTATGCAGCATAAATAATATTAAAATAACATTTTTAATGCCAATACACTTTATGCATTCACCCAATTTGAGGCCCAATTTACCCAAAATGTCTAGATTCCCTGTATAAAGGGAAATTGAGTTTAAGGTTTTAGAAACTCTAGAAAATTGTACAAGATTTTTAGAAGTTTCTAAAATTTACTTGCAATTTCTAAGTGAAAAATACTGAAATACTGATCTACCAACAGAGCCAAACAATATGAGCTATTAATATAGCCAGTTTATGCAGGCTGACATATAAAACTTTCACAATTAATCTATCATAACAAAGAAAATGGTGTTAAAATTCAATTCTTGAAACTTATTAAATAGTTGGAATTATATTTATGCTGGCTGATACTGTGAAAAAATTACATTACATTACATTAAAGTAGATACTGCTGAAAGTGCATGTCATACATCTAACCTGTTTATCTAGTACTGCACTTATTAATGCAATGGTACAGTCCTGTTTTTGTCTGCTGGTTATTTATGCATGTTAACTCTTGTGATGAAAGGATGTGTCACAGACACAGGGAACGATGAGAATTTAGGTGGGAAAGGAGAGAACATACTGCTTGAAGTTGGGCTACTGACGTTTCTGCCATTTTTTCAAAGAGTTCAAAAAGAGTTTCCTCCAGCGAGAACATGGAAAAAAAAGATTCAAAGGCTCTTTGCATACTAATAATTAATATACTTAAGAAGGTCATGTCCAAATCTAATATCTACAGTGCAATTACTGTATAATATTGAGATTGGAAATCTCTGAGTAGCTTAGAAGTTTAACGGGTGAATTCACTGCTGTGATGTGACATAACTGGGACATTTTGCCACTGGGTTTTTAAAGACACGTATGAGGTTGTTAAAATTAAAGCCCATTTCCACAGAGGATGGATGGATGGATGGATGGACGGACGGACGGACGGACGGACGGACGGACGGACGGACAGACGGATGGACGGACGGACGGACGGACGGACGGACGGACGGACGGACGGACGGACGGACGGACGGACGGACGGACGGACGGACGGACGGACGGACGGACGGACGGACGGACGGACGGACGGACGGACGGACAGACGGATGGACAAACGAACGAACGAACGGACAGATAGATAGATAGATAGATAGATAGATAGATAGATAACTGTGACTTTTTATCTCACAATTCTAATTTTTTTTCTTGCAATTCTAAATTTATATTGACAATTTATATACAGTATCTATATAAAAATATTGTGAGTTAAACTCAGAATTGTGAGATGTAAACTCAGAATTCTGAGAAAAAAGTCAGAATTTTAAGATGTAAACTTGGAATTCAAAGAAAAAGTCATAATTGTGAGATGTAAACTCAAAATTCTATGAAGGAGAAGAAAAGAGTCAGAATTCCGATACGAAAACTTGGAATTCCGAGAGAAAGTCCAAATTGTGGGATCTAGGGGACTATTTTAACAATCTAAGCACATGGTCTAAAGTGCAAGGTGCAGGTGCACTTAGGGCATGTCCGAATCCACTTTTGCTAGTTTAACAATGGGAAAAATGGTCGGCGTGTCCGGCGCATGGTCTAAAAGGGTTGTCCCTATTCTTTTAATGAGTCATGGGTGTGTTTTGGGCATAACGTGCAATAAACCAATCAGAGTCTCATCTCCCATTCCCTTTAAGAGCCAGTTGCGCTCGTGCCATGGCGGATTCACTATTTACACGGCGGAATTTGCAAGCGCAAAGACAGAACGCATCTCCAGAGATGAAACGGAGCTGCTCGTGCACGAGCAAATAGGTAGCCTAATTCTGATACATGCAATGACTATCCATTATGACATGTAGGAATTTGTATATTTATGTAGCCTACACAATAATAATCTTTTACATTGTAATACTTTAATTTTTAATATTTGACATGTTTGTGTGCTGCTGCACATCCCTGTGTGTGTAATAAGCAGAGTTTATGCGCGTTATTTTGTTAAATAACAAAAACAATAAATAAATACTGCGCCATTGACTTTAGACCAGGTCTTAGTTGGTCAATGGCACAGTCTATTTCAGTTGCCTCAAAATAGCAACACCTCGACAATGCGCATGAACACACCTCGTTTTCAGACCAGAAAACGATACGATGAAAATAACTGCATCATGCTGAAACTAGCAAAAAACACCTGCGTCGTGCCTGATGCCGCATTGCACCCGGGTGTATGATAGGGCCCCTAAACTCAGAATTCTGAGATGAAAAACAGAGAGTCAGAATTCCAAGATGCAAACTTGTAATTTCCGAGAAAAAAATTCAGAATTGTGAGATGTAAACTTGGAATTCAGAGAAAAAAGTCACAATTGTGAGATATAAACAGAATTCTGAGAAGAAAAAAAAGAGTTAGAATTCCAATATGTAAACTTGGAATTCAGCGAAAAAAGTCCAAATTGTGAGATGTAAACTCAGAATTCTGAAAAAAAAAAAAAAAAGAATCTGAATTTTGAGATGTGAACTTGGAATTCCGAGAGAAAAAAAAAAGTCAGAATTGTGAGATATAAACTCAGAATTCTGAGAAGAAGAAAAAAAAGAATTATAATTCCAAGATGTTAGATGTAAACTCAGAATTCTGAGAAGAACAAAAAATAAAGAATCAGAATTTTGAGATGTGAACTCAGAATTCTGAGAAGAAGAAAAAAAATAATTTTAATTCCAAGATGTTAGATGTAAACTCAGAATTCTGAGAAGAAAAAAAAATAAAGAATCAGAATTTTGAGATGCAAACTTGAAATTCCAGAAAAATGTAAAAATTGTGAGATATAAACTCTGTATTCAGAGAAAAAAGTAAATTACAATAAGTAAACTTGGAATTCTGCGGAAAAAAAACAAACAAACAAAAAAACATCAGAATTGCAAGATGTAAACTTAAAATTGTGAGAAAATAAATCAGAATTCTGAGTTTGTATCTCGCAATTCTGACTTTTTGAATTGCGTGGTGGAAATGGGCTTCCATAGCAAAATGAAAGAAACATGATAAAACTCAACACCTGGTACATAAAAGCATTTATAGTTGAAAAAAAAACTTGTTAATGTGTTACCAGCAGCGCAGCGTCTTGGAAGACTCTTGTTAATTCAGTGTGAAGTGGAAGGCTGTTATTTGTGGTATTCAGCAGGTTGTCCAGGCCCTCATCCACTCTTTAAGTGTTTCTAGTGTGCCGTTGTTCTTTATCTCTGCGGGTCTCCTGTAGCTTTCGGTGTCTTCATTCTCCCCAAAATCTATTAGTAGAATAAGACATTTCTTCCTTCTTCCCATGATGCCCTCTTAACAAAACACGGACAAACAAAATAAACCTGAACAGGCAGCGGGTGACGCCAAAGTGACTAAATAATGAAGAGACTAAAAGACACTCAAGCGGGTTTTTGTCCACCCATGTTGCTCAAAGTGACGCAACAGTCGATCTTTTGTATTTTTGCTGAATCTCGCCTTAATTACTTTCACTGCCACTTCTTTCTTCAAGCCTGAGGTAGTTTTAAAATAAACTACTTTGGGTGTGGATTACATTCAGAATGATGCAGTATTTTGGTTGTGTAGATAGGTTGGAGGGTTTAATGGGTCACCGATGTTCAGTTTTATGTACGGAATACTATATATTTTTGTGTTCAAATTATTTTGATGGATAAAGTCAAAAGTGTCAGGGTGGTTCAACTGATCTATTACAATGATAATTAAAAGTATTAAATTCTTGAAACCAACTAAACAGTTTGGCATATTATTATTATTATTATTATTATTAGTAGTAGTAGTAGTAGTAGTAGTAGTAGTATACTTGTATTATTATACTTGTATTATTTAATTATTTATTAGTTTTGATAAAATATTACTATTTATCATTAGAATGAATGTCATATGCTACAACCAGTCATATAAACATAATGATATTTATAAATTAATAAATCAATGTTTTTGTGAAATAAACATTCAAATAATTGAATGAATTAATTAATGATATGCCAAAATAATAATAATAATAATAATAATAATAATATAAGTAGGAAACAATTTATTTTATTCTTTTTTATATTTTGTTGCATTTATCTAGTTTCATTCATTCACACACACACACACACACACACACACACACACCGTACATTTACAATTAATATTATGTATTATTTTAAAAAATACACACATTTTATTTTTTCACATCAGTTCTCATGTCTTATATATTTTTATACTAAGTAATATGTAGTAATAGTAATATTTAAGCACTATATTATTATTATTATTTACTCCATTTTCACTTGTTCTGTACAGTATCTGTGAATTTTATCATTACTTATTCAATTTAGTTTGTAGTTTCAATATATACATGAGCGAACGAACAAACTAACGAACAAAGTTAAATATGAAAATAAAAACTAAAATAATTTGCCAAAATGAATTGCTGTCATTCCAATCACATGCTAGGGCCTTGATGAATATTAATTTACACTCCGTCTGACACTTTATTTATATGATTTGTCGAGTGTATGCTTTGTATGCAGAATGACTCACAATTTAACTTTCCAATTATTCATTTTTGATTCGATGCAGAAAAAACAATAGTTTGAGAGAATCCGGGTACATCTGTAAATATTTTTTTCGCTTTTCGATTCCGTGGCTGAGAGCTCAAAAACAGTAAGAATAATAGTAAGGTAGTTTTGTATATGATGTATATAAAACAGGCTGCACTACAGCGGCGATCTTCCCTTTCAAGGAAACGTTTCTCATATCAAAAGAAGTGCTACTGATAGCTACCTTGCACAACCCATGAGTCCCAGTATAATAAGTGTGATGAGGACGTGTCAGCAGTCCACAGCGAGTGGCTGGCGTTTCATCTGTGCTCGAGAAAGCCGCACTGTTGATTGTGTTTTGGCAGATTTGTGATCGTGAGTGCCAAGCCCTGCAGGTAAAGCTCTTCAAACAATCGGATGGCGATGAATGTCAGGTTTTGTCAGTCTCCGCTGTTGGCCTGAGGGGCACACGTTGTTTGTATTTCTGTCACAACCAAACTAACTTTTGTCTCCGTACGGAGTGGAAATGCAAACAATGGGGTCTTGTTGTCTGCGAGGCATGTCGGGGCAATTTTTTTTCATGATGTATGATTGATACGCAGTATGTTCGTCTGAGAGTGTTGAAGGTAGGTTTCTAAGTCTGAGTCTGTCTTTCGTAGGGAGCGCCGGGACGTCCGTCACGTTCAATCGGAACGGCGACGCACCGGGACGGTACGATCTTTTCCAGTACCAGATGAACATCAACAGCACTCCCGGATATACAGTTATTGGACAGTGGACAGAAACTCTCCAACTCCACGTGAGTACATGTTGTCTGCAAAAGTGTCGTCATGAGATAATGTGGTTCAGATTCATCCATCAAACTTGTGCTATGTGATTCTGGTGAGTTTCAGAAAAGTACGTTAATAAGACATTCATTCATTCATTCATTCATTCATTCATTTATTACACAAATGTATTTCCCCCTCCATATTTTTTTGTATTTATCTAGTTTTATTTTTAGGCTATTCATTCATTAATTTACATTCCTTAAATTTAATATCATTTATATTATTTATCATTTTGTTTCAGAAAAATAAGAAAGTTTAATTCATTCATTCATTCATATTCGTTCAATTTATATAATTTATAATTTTGTTTAAGATAAATACGTTTCATTCATTCATTCATTCATTCATTATTCCACACAATTTATTTTTCTCTATATTTTGTTATATTTATTTAGTTTTATTTTCGTTCGTTCATTCATTGGTTAATTCATTCATTCATTCATTCATTCATTCCACAAATGTTTTTCCCCCTCCATATTTTTTATTATTTATCTAGTTTTATTTTTAGGTTATTCATTCATTCATTCATTCATTTACATTCCTTAAATTTAATATCATTCCTATTATTTATTTTGTTTCAGAAAAATAAGAAAGTTTAATTCATTCATTCATTCATTCATTTATATTCCTTAAATTTAATATCATTTATATTATTTATAATTTTAAGAAAAAAGTTTCATTCATTCATTCATTCATTCTTTCTTCCACACAAATGTTTTTTTTCTCCACATTTTGTTATAATTATTTAGTTTTATTTTCATTCATTCATTCATTCATTCATTCATTCGCATTCCTTAAATTTAATGTCATTTATATAATTTTTCATTTTGTTTCAGAAAGTGAGAAAGTTGTATTTATTTATTTATTGTTCAACAATTTTTCCATATTTTGTTGTATTTATTTATTTATTTTTGTTTTCATTCATTCATTCATTCATTTACGTGCATTTACTCATTTACATTCCTTAAACTTAATGTCTTTTATATTATTCATTTTGTTTCAGAAAAATAAGTGAGAACGTTTTATGAATTCATTTGTTTATTTGTTTGTTCATTCATTTGAATGTTTAATTAGCATTTATATTATTTATTTAGATTTCAAAAATCATTAAGAATTTTTTACACAAACTATTTTCATGCTTCTTTCATGTTGTTGAATTTATTTAGTTTTATTTTAGACTATCATTCATTCATTGACATACTTTACATTTATATTTTTATATTATTCATCGTTCGCTTTAAAAATGACTTTTTTACACAAATTTTCTTTTTTTATATTCAGTTTTCATATCCTGTTTACTTTTATACTTTGATTGTGTGTTATGCATATTAATTAACATGTAATAGCAATAAGTAAGCACCTAAAATGTGTTATAATTTATATTATTTATTTTTCTGGATTATTTATTCCTCCATTTCCCTTATTCCTCTGTATTTTATAATCATTAATTACTCCACTTACTGTATTGTACATGTGTATGGTTTCTTTCCCGTTATTTTAATTCTGATGGTTCTGGAAGCTCTTTCTACACCCAGCAGTTGGGCACAGCCAAGCATAGCAGTTAAACATAATATAATTTAGTCCAGATAATTGCTAGGGACATTTAAAAGATTCATCTTAATAGCCAGAGCTTCATAAGACCATAACCTCTGATTGAACCATAGATTATATGTTAACGTATGAGAAACCCTTCCCCCGGGGAGTACAGGTTATTAGATGTGCATTAATAATATCAGCAATCTGTTCATGTCTATGCATGCTGGGATTATTGAGCATGCACACGGCAGCAATAAATAAAGTTCAATTCAAATAAAGCAAAATCAAGTTCTTCTCATACGCAGTCTGATTATGAAGTCTCACTCTCAGCATTACTGTAAATCCATACACTGTGTGAGTTTGGGAGGCCGTGAGCCCTTACACGTGTTACAAGTCAGTTAACCTGTTAACCATGTCAAAGCAGTTGGTACGTGGCACGACTATATTGCATAGCGAGCCGGCGGTGGTTGCATGAGCTCTGGTGCTAAACATGGATATTGGTGTTTTCAGTGTTGCTGCTATAACTTAGGATGGAAAATGAAACAAGCTAAAAAGACTAGCAGAGAACAACATGGCTGTTCCGTTCAACAAAAACAACTAGATAAGGGATCTCCAACCCCACTCCTGGAGAGCTACCATCATGCAAACTTCAGTTCCAACCTGTTCCACCACACCTGCCTGTCATTATGAAGCAACCTTGAACATCTTGATGAGCTGGTTCGGGTGTTTTTGATTGGGGTTGGAGGTGTAATCTGCAGGACTGAGTTGGAGACCACTGAACTAGACCACTGAGTATTTTGTTTGTGTGTCAGTGTAGACTAGTATTCTATGTGATGTGGTTGTGTATTTGCTTTTTATTTTGTGTTGCTTGTTTTTTTAATGTTTTTTTGTGTTTGGTTGTTTTGTTTTGTTTTGTGTTTTATTTTTATGACTTGTGTTGCTTTGTTTTTATTTCTTTTTTTGTGTTTGTTGTTTTGTTTCATATTGTTTTTTTTCATTTTGTGGTTTAGTGTTATTTCTTTTTTTGTTTTTTTTGTGTTTGTTCTATTGTTCTGTGTTTTCTTTTTTTGTGTGTTTGTTCTGTTGTGTTGTTTTATTTTGTTTTAGGTTTTGTGTGTGTTTTGTTTGTTTTATTTTGTGTTGGTTGTTGTGTTTGCATTGTGTTGTGTTATGTTTGTGTTGCTTTGTTCTGTGTTTTGTTTGCTTTTTGTTTCATGTTTTGTTATTTTGTGTTTGCTTGTTTTATGTTTGTGTTGCTTGTTGTTTTGTGTTGTTACTTTGTTTTGTTTATTAATGGGTTTTGTCCTTTTTTGTTTAGTTTAGTTAACAAAAAAGTTTTTTTTTCTTTTGTGTTTGTTTGTTAATAAATAAATTTGACTATTTCTCACTAATTATTATCAGCCCACATGAGACTAGGTTAAATTTAACAAACATAAAGCAATGTATTGCAATTTATTGACCAATCATTCACATCTACAATATGTTCATGCTCTTGTATAAAGTGCAATATATTTTTGGCCTTAGCCATTTGTTTCAAAGTCTTTTAAACACTGGTGGATAGTCTACTCTTTGTAATTAAACTTCTTAGATTAGCACCTTGTTAACTGTAATTGAAAATCACCCGTTATAATAATAAAAAAAAACTTCATCCAAGTCATAAGAGACATTCTAGTTGAGATAAGTGTTATTGACTTGAGATCACATGATCTTTACAAAGGATTTTTATGTCTGCTCTTGCTGTATAAACAATCACTGATTTGCATTAGTCATCAATTGAAATTCCACCGAGAGGTTCATTAATAATTATTCTAATAATGCTAGGAAAGGATTTGATGTCATGTGACAATCTGAACCCGCCTACAACATCTCATTCACAACAGCTCAATGTAATTCCCTGACATCTGGTTGTAATTCCTCCAAAAGTTTGATCGTACTTTTATTTCTATGAAGGCAAAGAATAATTGTATTTGTTGCAGGAAGTATGCATCTCATCATATGTACTTAATATTTGTCAGGCTGTGTTCTCGCTTGGCCTCAATAACATTGTAAATGGATTTGTCTTGCATTGTGGGAATCCTTTTTGTGCTAAGCCTGCGAGAAGTCGTATTATTAGAGGAGAGAAGAAGGGAGAAAGTGAGGGTGAGAATGTTGTCCACTTGTGATTCACATCTTGCAGCCTCCGTTGAGTCATAAATGAGGAGTCTGACTGAGTTGTCTCCAAAGATCACCTACGGCTTCTGCGGCAAATGTCATTTACGCCTCAACCCCCGTCCTCGGCGCTTCACAGAGGGGAAATCGAGGAAACAGTGAGAGAGTGCCGCAAACCATCCTACAGGGATTTCTTGTCTTCCCTCGCCGACGAAGGAACGATGCTGCTTCCCGTAGTTCCTCGACAAACTGCTGATCGTACAAGAATTGTGGAGTACATACAGATTAGGTTTAGCAAAACGACCTGAAATATTCTTCGCAAATCAGAACACAATTCGCAATGCGACCATAAATTAAAAACATAAATTTATAAACATAAATTTGCAAAACAATCATTTTTAGGTCATATTTTTTTAGTTCACAATCTTTCCCCTTTATTTTTGTCAACATTTTGTCACACATTTTTTGACCAGATGAAATCTTTAGAATCGGCTTGAATCGGCTTAACTGAGTGATGCATGGTATTTTTAAAGTGACAAGAACTACTGTGCCTCTTTTAGTCTTAACATCTGCAGTGTTATTCGTTCTTGATAATTTTCTTTTTATTTTGTGCTTTCAATGTGAAAAACATCTGACATTAGCATGTTTTAGCTGTTAGCATGCTATACTGTGGGATTTCACGCTAATTGCATTCTTAGCATTACAACAAAGAACGCTATCATGGCTGTTAGCATAAACTGTTTCTATGGTCAGTTTCCTCTATTTATCATGGTGAATGGCAACAGTGTGAAGAAAATGATATGCTAAGCAAGTTGTTTATGTGTATTTCTACATTTACGTTTGGTTTAATGACATTTGAAGGTAACTCTATCACCCCCTAGAGTACTGAGGCTTGTTAAACGGCACAGTAACTCCTCTGAGTCACAGATGACAATCATTTTCCAAGGATCATGGGTATTTTAAATCTGACAAGTACTTATGTGGCTCTTTTAGTCTTACCAAGCATTGCGTTGCTCATTTTCAACATTTTAATTTGTGCCGAAAGCTGAAAATACTGTTGGGATATTTCTAAAAATAAAAACAACACTTTTAGTGACTGTTTCACACATTCTCAACATTTTATTTTGTGCTCAAAAGGTGAAAAAACATCACATATTAGCAAATATTATCCATTAGCATGCTATACTGTGGGGATCTTTCCAAAACTGAGAATAGACAATATTACTTAGTGACAGAAAACATTCTGAATTATTCATAAATGTTTAAAAATTTGCTAAAGTGTGGA